ATGGCTCAAATCCAGACTAGAGCCGCATCGCCTGCGGGATATCTGGTACGCCACATCCGTATTTTTTTTTTCCCTTTTAATAAAAGAGTTGTAGGAATATGTGCGATTCGGAGGGTACGGGCTCGCTTGATCGTGAAGAATTTGCACGTGGGATGGCGCGGATAGATGAAGAGCTGCGACGTGCGCAGGTGCTCGGTCGATCTTCTGCAGGATCGAGCACCACGAACCTTAGAACGCCTCGGCCGCCGGGCCTTTCCCGTCCCATTCTCCGTTGAAGTGAGCACAGCTCCCGAGATAGCGGGTATCGTACTTGTACTAACCGGCTCGCGCCTTAATGACATTTGTTTCCTACCTTTTCTTTCTCTTTTTCTTTCTCTTTTTCTTTTGCTGCTACCATATGTACATACAAAGAAAAAGATACCCCCCAACCATCACCCTTTGCTCTATTGGACACATATCCCCTGCGGTTGTTGGTTCACATCGACCGTCACCTTTATAATTCGGTCATTGCAACCCACCTGACTTGGAACGATCTATCACGCTGGGAGTTATAGGATTTCTCCACGTCGACAGCGTAATGAGAAGGCGATGGAACCGTTGTTTTATGTCCTGACAAAACCCACCAATTGAACATCCTGCGTGAAAAAATAATCATAATCAAAAGTTGAAGCTTTGAAACCTACAGCTGTGTTGCTTGGTTAGCTTGGCGGACCTTGTTTCCATTCCTCCCAAAAAAAGAGTTTTGGCAGGCTACTGTATGACAAAAACAAAGACAAAAACAAAAACAAAAGTATTTTATTTGCGATGGGTGGAAATTCATGAGAGCACGCCACGCGCACCCGTGCCAGCCGTCCCACTATATATCTGCGCCAACAGCCCAAGCACGCCCCCATCCGCCCCGACTTCCTCTTCTTCCTCCTGCATCGACCGCGTACCTACACCACGTCCATGCCGCCGCGCACCATCCACATAAGACTCGCCCAACGCGCTGCGCATCTCGCCCTCCGAATCTACCGCAAGCTCTTCACCACCACTCCCATTACTGTTGATCATCGTCTCCGCTGCTGCTCTTGTCCGATGAGGACGTTGCTGCAGCTGCAGCTGCTCCGGAGAAGAAGAAGTAGGTTGTTGTTCCAAAGCCGCGAGCGCGATGGACCCATCAGAGTCGCCTAGAGCGACACTTTGCGCCATTCCAGATTGATACACCGTTCCGGTAGAGTGAGTGAGCATCGTTGTCGACGTCGTTCCGAAGCCGAGGCCGGCGGTACTTCCACCTCCGATTCCGGCACGCTGCTGCTGTCTTCGCACGGCGGCGGTTTGCGATTCGTGCAACGCGCGCTCGTATTCCCACGTGCGATCCGTGGTGGTGGGCACGCTCACGTTTGGAGGAGCACGTGGCGTTTGGTTGTCCGCGGCGCGGCGCGCGGAGAGTTCTGCGATGCGCTCGAGGTACAGAGAGCCGGAAGGATCCGCAGGCATCCACTCTGGGTGCGCGGCTTTAAACGAGACGAAAGACTTTTCCATCTTTCCGTCGTTGGACATCAATCGTGCGTCGGACACTTTCGTCGGTGCGCCAAACTTCAAGAAAAAGTTTTTAGCAAAAGGGAACCGGAGAGGAAAAAGGCGCAAACCTTGACGTTGCCATGTCGCTGGAAATCAAACACGGCGAAACTACACACGTATCCGAGCCCATCGACATGGACGGTAAATTCGCGAAAAAAGTCCACGATTGCCGGCGCGCACGGAGGGAGCGCAAACCAGAGGATGAATGGCGTCAACACGACACCAGCAAGCTCTGTCGCGAACGTGACCGGCTTTAGCATAAACAGCTCGCCGAACTGCGTGTGCACAGTCTTGGAATGCAGCTGCACTCGCCACTCGTCCGGAAGGTAGTGCGTGTATTGAACGAGCGCCTTCATGAGCACTTCCGAATCGAAGACTCGATTCTGGTCCGGAATCATGCCCCGTGCCACCGCAAGGATGCCACCAAAGACGGAAAGATAGAAGAAGACCGAGCGATGGGGGGTGATCTCGAGGTGGATGAAAAGATCAGGGTCAATAACAGTGGCGAGAAGAAGGACAGCAGCAAAGGAGCCAGCTACGAATGCCGCAAATCTGGATATTACGTCAATCCGCGGATCGAGGACTACTACCACAGGGACGGACCTCATGGTGATTGCCAACTTTTCGTTGGGAAACTGGTTCATGTACATATTTGCGATAGGGTATGATTCCTTTAGGCGTCGCTCAAAAAGATGCGAGAGTTCATTGAACTCCCGGAACTTCCACTGAGCAAAGGGCGTATATGCGCGGCCACTGATTGAAGATGGATTCTTATAGGATTCCTACTTTGACTGTGAAGATTACTCCATGGCGAGAGGATATATACGTACTTCGAAGTACCGGAAGAACGAGTACATGAGCAAGTAGACCACGATGAATGGCGCAAATATTGCGTTTAAGATACCCATAAAGATGAAACGTCGTCTCAACCTATACACTACCGTTAGCAAAGGGCAGTCAGATTACTATGGCACTTTACGCACCCGTCAATTAATGCTGCTCGATTCTTGCTCTTTAGGAACACCTTCCGTACTTGTCCCCTTCTGTCAAACAAGTACTCCATCAGACAAAATTGTAGATTCCACTCAAGAGCACGCGTGAGTGTGCGGCCCTTGCCCTGCTCCGTGAGCCACCTGCGTGGGACTGGCGCGCGCAAGTCGAGGAGGTCTTTGTTAAACAATGCAATGAGAAAGTTCTCTTGGCGCATGATACGATTAGCGATATCGTGGGCGTCTAGTTTCGCGCCTTCGCTCGCGCGCGGACGGGAAGAGGATGAGGAGAGCTCTGTGAGTGGATTCGAGTGCCGGATGGCTGCGATACGTCGAACTACTTCGGGCCAGGAGATGGTCTGGATATCTTCCTAGGGAAAATGTGTTGGGCGATAAGCAGCGACATATAGACGGGGAGGCGCACGTCGGGTATTTGAAGGAGGTAGGTATAAAAGCGGTACATGTCCACCAACCGCATGATACTCAGAATAAACACCACAATTTGCCATACGTAGAAGGCGCAAAATATGAGGAAAAAGAGTAGTGTGAAGCCCGAGAACCTGCACAGCTTGGTAAGAAATGTGATGGGCAAGCATGGGACAGACAAGGGAGGGCACACCGAGAGACGCAGCGTTCTACAACAATATCTGATAATCGCGTGACTTGGTCAGGGTGGATTCGCGAGTAATCCACACAGCGGAGGAGGAATGTCGAGAAGCCGGTAACAAACCCGACTGTGCTGGGCTAGGCATTAGCGGGCCTCTCTGACACGGTGAGAGAAACCTACAAAAGGTTCAACCCTCGCTTGAGAGCGATGGAATATATCCCCTTCCCGTGGTAGTACAAATATACCTCCTGGAGAAAGCCGTCGAGATTGTACACGTTCACCCAGTTCCACAACGCGCGCTCGTAAGCATCCAGTCCACGTTTTGGATTAGGCTGCACAGGTGTAGATGGGGACTGAGAGAGGGGGCGTTCCGCGTTAATCTCCGAAGGACGCGGGGGGGCTGATATCCGAGGGGGATCGGCGGGTGTGGTGGGGTTGGTCGCAAAGCTTGTGTCGCGCGTCCGGAGTTTGCGTGACAGTGGCGTACGGCGTACAGAGGGAGACTCGATCAAGAAACTCTGGGGGACCTCACCGTCGGATTCTGACTCCTCCTGGATGCGATCGTCCTCGCGAACGTTGGGTCGGAGCACAGTAGTCTCGGCGTGGCCACGGGAGATGGCTCGCATGCCAGTAGAACCCGCGTGTGAGGCCTTTGCAGTTGACGTGGGGCGAGTCTGTGCCTCCAAGTCGATATCTTCGTTCCCTGGAAATGCAGCACCATCGGGGTCCTCTTCGTCTTCCTCGAGAACGGATTGGTTGGCAGCCGTGTAACCTTGGTACGCGCGGCCTAGCGGGTTGAGCTTGTTGAGGAAAGCGCGAGAACTGGCGGTGGGTGCGTGAATAGAGTGAGTCATAGAACGTGAAGCAGACAAAGAATGCCCAGTGATGCGTCGGTTATTTGGCGGGGAGGACATCGTTGACGTTGACGTTGCCAAGCGCGGCTTTAGCCTGGCCTCGCGGTCTTCAAAGGTGGGACCGTTTGAGTCACTCAAACCGACCGAAAGAGGTCAATCACGTTGTTAATCCACTGTGCTACTGCACACCCACTAGCTCTTTTTAATCAACCCCTGCCTTTACTTCTGACTCCTCTACCAAATGCCACGTAAGCATTCCTTGTGCATTGTTCCTCCGCACTCGTATCCCGCCTGCACATTGGCAGCTCCAAGCAGTGCATCAGCAAATCGCATAGATAGTTAAACCTGGACAACCCTTTGCTGTGGGTAGATCGAGATAGGGACTAAAATTGCACGCAGATTGCACGTTGACGGTGTTTTAGTCAAAGAGTATAGCCTTTGATAAGGAAAATATGTATACCTGGTAGCAACCCAGACTTGGCAGCGCATTAGCGGGGGTTGCAAAGTGCCCGCGTGCAATTTACATCGAATCTTACGAGAATGGACGACAGAGCGGTATGGACTTGGTCAACAAAATGACCCTATGTAGACGAACTCCTGGTGATAATCATGCCAGAACACAGGAGGTTAGGAAGGTCTCGCTATGAAGGAGGGAGCTCAACGTCTCCAGATGCAACACAGCGAACCGAACTGCCATGTAATGAGAGTAAGGGAGTCTTATGAGACGAAAGCAAGTAGTGACATCTGGGACCAACGGTTCCTGAATCTTGAAAGGTTGGGGTGATTTGCGAGCGAGGCTCTCGACGAAGAACGGCGAGTGCGACAATGGGGACCATGAACAAAGCACGCTGGAAGACGATCGCCATGATGGCGCATCCCCAAAATTGCCCATGGCTACGTCACAAGAGCCGTGCGTGGTCACCACTAGCAATGCTCGTTGGGCACGATGACTGTACCTCAGGTCTAGTAAACACGAGAGTATATTATGGGCGGATGGCACAGTGGTAGCGCGCTTGCTTCGCATGCTTGAGTCATCCTGGGATGACATGAGTCCTTGAGTTGCATGAGGTCGTGGGTTCAAACCCCACTTCGTCCACATTTTTTATCCTTAGATTGAGAGGGGCTTCAATTGGGCCACCACTTCCGTTTGACCAAGTAAACTTGAACGTTCTTCGCAATTGGAAGCTTATGTAGAGGGACATGGTGTATGTCATCATGCACCTCAGGTCAGGTCCTGGGGGTAAAAACATGGACTGGCCTACTTAGGCCAGGCCTTCTGGTAGTGTAGGGCCCACTCATGGAAAACAGCCACGTCCCACACCCAACTCGTGAGACGCTGTCCAAATGCCAGAACAGATGAACAAATTATTCCCCGACACGCAAAACGTCCTACGTCGGTCACTATATAACATATTTCGTAACCGATAACTCCAGTTTACAAACAGAGATTTAGAGTTCGTCATGAATACTGTCTGGAGGGGGGGCTTCGCGCATCGGTAAAGTCGTAGTAGTTGCGAGAACAATCGTATCTGGATCAGGAAATATGTGTGACACTGTGTCGTCGACACGCCCGCCAGGTGTACTGCTAGACGGACTGTCCCATTCCGACCCTGCTGCATGAGCAACATGAGATGCTAGAGCAGTTGCTGTGGTCGCGATAACGGATGAAGCAACTGCTGCCACACTTTGCGTTGTAGTGACCCCCTTTTCCATCATCTCTTGCTTCACGTCGAGTTGTGAGTCGCCTCTCGGCAAAAAGCGCGTCCACCAAAATGCGATGCGGAGTCCACGGTCAAGTACGCGCTGCTTCAAAATGAAAAGCACGACAAGGATGAAGAACGCAAGACTGGCGAATATCAGTATCCTGTCTAACCAGTCCGCTTTCTCGAGCGCGGTGACAAGCTGCTTCGAAGCGCCGAGCAGTCCTGTAAGCACGTCCTGGGTTGACGATGTGGCCTTGAGGGAACCTGTAGAGGCCTCTGGAAAAACGGTTAAGGCGGCTCATACTCAAACTTATGACAAATCACCAACCAAGCATCTGCGTAGATAGGACGGACTTTTCCAGTTCGCCCTGCATTAGCGTCATTGTCCTCCTAAGGGCATCCGTGACATCTGCCTGAGCTTTCATTACCGCGTCATCACTGCTATCGAATAAGAGGGCTTTCAGCAATGTATGACTTTGTTACGTACGTGGCCTTCCCATCTGAGGTCCTTGTTTGTTTCAGTACTGACGAGCGCAGCAACTCCTCTCGATTCGAAACCAGCTTTGCGTCGATAGCTCGTTTAGAGGCCAGCAGAGCTGCTCGCATGTCTCTTCTCAACCTGGTAGCTCAATCAGATGCCAGCCATACTTGTCCGAGCTTTACATACTGGGTCAATTCCGCTTTGAAGCTCTCGACTATACCGCGGAGGTCCCTCTGACTTCGCTCGCTGCGTTGAACTTCGATAGTCTCATCTAAGGCCTACTGCCAACTCATTAGGCACAAATAAAGATAGAAAGGCATGTGTACTCACCTCGACAAGGTGCGTGATTGATTCTAAATCCTCACGAAGTTCAGCGGCGTACTGCTGCTGCACAGACAGAGACTCTGAGCAGCCACGTAAGCGAGGTATCTGAAATTCCCGCAGGTCATTCTGGCGTCGCTGAATTGAAGCAATAGAGGCTTTGGTAACATCGTCAAAAGTCGTAGGTAATGGTGGCATGATGATTGTTGCGAGAGTGCACGAGTACCGTGGGAATATGAAATTCTGTCCACTTGCGTAGGTATTTTCAGCGACTTTCATGCCGCTCACTATATCAGACTCCATCCCTACGCCCCCGTTCATGGAGATTGAGGTCTGTTTAAGGCTACTACAAGGGCTTGTCCTCCAAACTGCCCCTTCGAAGATCCAACTGGTCCCTTGGCATACGCTGTCCTCATCAGCATGGGGAGCTGGGTCCCGTACTTGGTCTTCACCAAGACCATCGGCAAGGTGAATCATGTTTCGTCTCACACCCACAACTATTTTTCCTGCCAGTACCACTTGGGGGACTAGGAGGGCACCTGATAAGTCTGTAGGTTTATGTAATGAGACCATAATGTTCTAGAACGATCTAAATTAAATTTAAGAGTACTTACCATACTGTGTTGTCGAACAACTCTCAGCAGCGCTTCTGCATATCGTCAAGCCAAAATGACCTCTTCCTCTGTTGACGGTTTACCAAACGTGCGCCACCATTTGAAAGTTATAGTTCAGGTAGTTCGCTTACGAGACAGCGCCATGCCACTTAGCAAACCGCGGTCTCTAATTCGCATCACACCAAACCTCGGTCCATCTGTAGGAATTTCGTCTATAGGGGCGTTTGCGGAGATAAAGCATGTCCTCGCGCGCATGTCCCGTATAATGACATGGTGCTATCAGTTGTATACCTACTTTACCTCCCTGACCTTTCCTAGGTTGACCTCTTAGCATACCTTACGGAACGCGATGACTTTCCCCCAGAACTTCGTTTCGTCACCAAGCGTCTCACGCGTCCAGACCTCGTGTGTTACACTCCTACCTTTCTCGGCACCCTCGCAGCTGATTTGGGACAGAGTCGGTGCAGACAACAATATTCGTCTGATCGAATATGCTCCTATTTTCTCCATGGCTCATGCCGCTTGAACGAGAGATGTCCTCGTGCACATCTTCGATCTTTCCAGATATATCGCTCCCTACTGCGGACTGCGAATGTGAAAGTGCGTTATTTTTGCTCAAAGAAGCTTCCGTTCCCTTATGTAATACACCCAGCCCGACCAAGCAAGGGGAACCGCCACCCAAGTGCGTCCTTGGGGATTGTGCTTTTCGCGTGCTAATTACCCTCTTTCCAGCCGTCCCCCGTGACGCCAGTTGATCCGACCACCTCCACGGGTCCTCCTATACTCGCAGCTGACAATGACTAGTAACGATACCAAAGAAAATCTGGAATGTAGCCTTTGCCGTTGCAATATGGTACTTTGATGGACCCGGAGACGTCTCGCAAAATTTGAGCAGTCACCTGTGCGCTTTGCTCATCGTCCTTGGCATGGCAGATGTTAGTCATTGGGATTGCGTCTCGATTTGCCAGCGGATTTGGTCTGATACCATTCTTCTGGCCGAATCCAACTTTGCTTTTATGAAACTTTCTTGACGCACAACACACAGTCCTCATTTGTCTATATGTGTGTTGGGGCTGCACCACCACAGCGATGGCGATAGTCTACCGTATCGTGCTTAGTATTCGAATCTCTGCCTAGCCACGGCCAAACGTACCTCATCTCCCCTTGTGTCGTAAAATCCTCCGGGGTGTCTCCGGTCACAAGCCGTGGTTCGTTGTTGGATGTGCAGCACACACTCATTGTAGCAAGCGTTTTCTTGACCCGTTTGGCCATTGGACGCTGCTCCGCCTTCATAATTCTCTCGCATCAAAGCGAGAGAAAGATTTCCTCCGAACTGGGATGTACAGATAATCTGTTATGGTCCCATGTTCTTCCAGTTAAGTTGAGGTTGAGCTATCGGAGGCTTAGTGTTTGCTGAGGCGTCAGGCAAACTGAACAAGATGCGAGTGAATGAAAATTGCACATTGCACTACATCCACACTACTTGAGTAACTACGAAAATTCAGACGGTGAAATAGAGGATACTATATGCATCTAATGAGTTTGATTGCGGCTAGCTTAGATGGCAGCAGAGTTGGGGACAGAAAAGATGTCAGAACTTGAAGCTACCTCTCTCTGTCGCATCGCAAAAAAGAAAAATTACAGAAAAAAAAAACATGAAAGCACATTGCAACATTGAATATATGACGACGGCGAAGGTAACACAGTTTTGATCCCTTCAAATTACTCAAAAAATGTCCGACCAGGGAACAACGCCGACCCCATGGCCTTGTTGTCCTCTTCGTCGTCCTCGCCATGGTTGACAGCCGAAATCGGACTAGGATCGCCACTAAGATCGTACCCCTTCACGTCATGAGTATGGCGCATGACCGCTGGTTCGGGATCTCCGGATCTAGATCCGGTAAGAACGGGCTCATCTCGCTGCTCTCTTGTCGCTGCAGCGCCCGCGAAGTGGGCTCTGCTCACGGAAGTGAGGGCGAAAGCGGAGGTAACGGCAAGCGGGGATGCGACGGCAGGTTCTGACGTCGCCCAACTTCGAGATCCATTTGGAAATCGGTTGGGCTAAGTTCTGGCGACGATTCTGGAGAGGCGATGCCCTCGACGCGATGTGACTCGGAGATTGGCTGAGGCCGTGGGGAGCAGGTGGCGGCTGCGGCTGCGGACGATGCACACGCGGGGTTGGTTGTTGTCGCTGTGGCTGCTGCTGACGTCGCAAGTTGTATTCAAACTATAAAAGCACAATGGTAAGTCATGCGCAAATCGGATGGGTGTAGACAAAAGGGTATACCAGCTCGAAAACTTCAGCACGCCGCTGGTCACCTGTTTCCTTGTCGATACAATTACACAAATACAGCGGGGTTCACGCTTTGACGGTCAACGGCATCAAGGTCGCGCAGGCACTGCTATAGTGACTGTCTGAACGACTGATGCCAGTTACTGGCACTATTGCGTGGCACTCTCCTTTGTCGTTCGCTTCCTCTATCCATCGCCCGTCCTCCTCTGTCACCTCCGCCGTCGCCGTCGCCTCGCGTCCACCCACTGGCACTGAGGGAGGCCGTTTGTGGCACACGAGATCGCTTTCTGATTTCGTAAGTTACTAGTGACAAAAGTGGCTCCAGCATAATATTATTTTCCTGATGCTAGCGGACACTCTTATTGCAGTAACAATGTTATGGCTGGGATGTCATCGAGCCCCCAACCCTCCATAATGATTTTAACTGGTTGTATTCACAGTTAGGAAAAACGCGAGACTTTCGAGTTACGTTCTACCACCCGTGGTGCTGCTCACGGCTGAAATGAATGTGCTAACCGGTACATCATGATCATGATCTTTGTCCACCCTTCGAAGATCCCCTTCAATTCTGCCCACACTTCCTTTGCTCTTACGTACCTGCCTGGGCAACAGAGCTGCGCGTTTGCTAACGAATTTTGTTTTTCTTGCCAAGGTTCCCAGTGGGACCTTGTTCCCGATCGAAGA